TGAAATAAACCCTTAAATCACAGAAATAGATGCGCATATTCGTGAAAAGGGCTGCAATGGCCGCAACGTAAACTAACATTAATCCTTAGGGACAAGTGCACCCGTCGCAGTAAGTTCACTAACAGTGCTTGTTTTTTTCCACTGACAGGATCAGATTGTTATTCTAAGTGTCTGACAACATTATGGAAAGGATCTCTACAGAGATAGACCTTTTGTTTAACCAGAAACAGCTGGAATATCACTATCACTCTCCACCAGACTCGATAGACAAAAACGATCATTTTACCTTGCATATCACTGGAACATAGTAGCTTCATTCAAAGTGGACCGAAACAAAATAAAAGTCACTAATCCAACAATCACCAACTCTGCTTTGGTTGGAATAAATCCATAATTCACTCCTGTAGATGAGACAAACAGCAGTTTCAGTTGCTTTGCTCAGTTGTACACGGAGCAGACTGGCTATGTAAACAAACCACAGAGAGGCTGCTCAGGACACCATGACTCCACTATATCTTTACATAGCAAATTGTTCGATATTTTATCTTTCATCGCACATTATATTCTATAAGATATACACAAATGTAGGTGTTTGTGGTTTGTTGATTTGTGTAACTACTGTTACTGCTGTTTTGTACCCAGGCAACCAAAGACGTGAACAACATGACATTGAAAATGCCATACCAGTGTTTCATCAACGGCCAGTTTGAGGATGCAGAAGACGGCAAGAGCTACCACACCATCAACCCCACTGATGGATCAGTGAGTCCCATGAACATATGAATCCACACACACACACACACACACACACACACACACAAACAGACACAAGGTTCTTGTTTTAGGTGCACTTAATTATTGGGCCGTGTGTGACCATTCTATTCTTAACCAGGTGATCTGTAAGGTTTCCTACGCCTCAGTCGGGGACGTGGACCGAGCGGTGGCAGCTGCCAAAGAGGCGTACGATAACGGACCCTGGGGCAGGATGAACCCTAGAGACAGAGGAAGTCTGCTTTACAAGTGAGTGGCTCCACCTGGAGGACGACAGAAGGATTACATGATCAGAAAGACGCTCCAGATTTAGTCTAGACAGTCCAGATTCCCAAGGGTAGAAACACAACTACAAAATAACCACTACAGCACAAAGGTCTGCTCTGTACATTATATGGCCTTTGCTCTCTTTTTAGATGGAAAAAATTAGGAGCTTGCTTACCAAAAAAAATACTCTTTAACAGCTGGATGACTATAGTATTACATGTAGATGCATTTTGTCTCATTTTAAAGCACTCCGTCCCCTCTGACCTCCTCCCTTCAGGCTTGCAGACCTGATGGAGGAACACCAGGAGGAGCTGGCCACCATCGAGTCCATCGACTCGGGGGCTGTGTACACGCTGGCCCTGAAGACGCACGTAGGCATGTCCATCCAGACCTTCAGATACTTTGCCGGCTGGTGTGACAAGATCCAGGTAGACTAACGTTCAGGCACACAAACCACAGTCTCATAAAGGTTCCACACTGATTACACCAGAGGCACACGCGGTTGTTTGTTGCAGGGCAAGACGATCCCCATCAACCAAGCCCGGCCCAACCGCAACCTGACCTTCACCAAGAGAGAACCTCTGGGGTACCAGCTCTGGATTTACTAAATGTTTCTTATAATCATTGAGCTACTCATCCACATGCATATTTAATACGTTGTCCCATAAATATGTCCACCTGTTCATACGGTGCTTTTTGTGCTGCAGTGTGTGTGCCATAGTCATTCCATGGAACTACCCTCTCATGATGTTGGCGTGGAAGAGCGCAGCCTGCCTCGCAGCTGGAAACACACTCGTTCTTAAACCCGCACAGGTGAGTACACCATACACACACTCTCACTGAGAATAAAGGCATCCACACAGAGTATGTGAAGAACTGTGACGGGGGTGTTTCTTTAGCTGAATGGACCCAGTGTCAGTGAGTAGTTCACATTTGATACGCCGTTTCCAATATTTACAGGTCACTCCGTTGACGGCGCTGAAGTTTGCTGAGCTGTCAGTGAAAGCTGGCATTCCAAAAGGAGTTATAAACATTTTGCCGGGCTCAGGTAACGAACACAAATATAAGATCCACATAGGCTCAAAAATGAAGCCTTTCCTTACCGCTTGTGATTTCTGTTCTTGATGTCATAAGGGCAAGGAAACATATCAATTAGAAATCACACAAACAAAATATGGCTGATTGTATTCTAGGCTAGCGGTTTTGAACCTGAGATTCGGGGTCCTCCAGGGGTTCTTAAGGGAGTTCTAGGGGGTCCCCAGAAAAATTGGTTAATATTTCAATTTGACAATCAGTATAGACAGTTAGAGAATAACCAAATCTTATCAGACGGGGATTCCTTAGACTATATCTTTGTTAAATACGGGTCCACAGCCTAATGTGTATCAATTTGGGGGTCCTTGATGCCAACATCAATTGCTCGTTAATATAATAGTAGGTCTACTTGCAACCCCTCGTCTATAATTTGTGAGCAGTTCACTCAAAGAGTGATGTTCCCTCCTCAGTCTGTAATTTTAATTATTTAGAGGCTTAGAGCCACTGCAGGGGGGCATGGATAACTAGAGGTAAAATATTGAGTGAAATGAAGTTGAATAAATATGATTTATGTCGAGAAAATTATTAGTTGTTTACCCTATCATTATTAATGAGTTATGATATATAGACTAGTTTATCTTGACTCAATCTCACACACACCGTCCTGCTGCCACAAATACTAACTGGAGCACCAAATGTGGATTAGTCCGCCACTGAAAATAGTCCTCAACAAATGCACCATAGCCTTTTTTTACAAATGAAACTATGTATTTGTGAGTTGTTTTAAAAGATTTCAAAGTACTGAAGAACAGACTAACATATTGTTGGTTTAGGTTTTTTTATGGGATGTATTGATAATAGGAAAATATACAGTAACACCAGCCAACCTTTTTACACCTTACACTGTGTTCTCTTTCTGTGAAACTTCATTTAACTCTATAAACATAAATTATGGGTTGGCATAGACAGAAAAGCTCCAAACATGGCTGCCAGTTAGTTTCCTCGACCCATAATCCACCTTCCCAACCTGTTCTCTCCCGCAGGTGGCATGGTGGGACAGCGTTTGTCCGACCACCCAGACATCCGCAAGCTGGGCTTCACTGGCTCCACACCTATCGGCAAACAGATCATGAAGAGGTATGACCTGACAAACCTAATAGCTCATTGGTTGACATAACTGTCAGGTGAAACTTGACGTCGTGTTTCCCCTGTGATTTCCTGTTGCAGCTGTGCCGTCAGTAACCTGAAGAAGGTTTCTCTGGAGCTTGGAGGGAAGTCGCCTCTCATCATCTTCAGTGACTGCGACATGGACAAGGCTGTTCGCATGGTGAGAGACTCAGTGGGAGAGAGGGAGGTTATTGTCTTAGGGCGGGAGCATGCTGGAAGATTAATAGGCTGCTTTTACACAATGATAGTGCTGATGCAATTAGTCAGTGAATGCATTTTTCAGTTCAATTCCCGCCTTAATTTTGACTCTAGTAATGTGTTACTTATTAAACAACAGTGCCAAACATTCGGTGCTTCAGTTTCTCAAATATAAGGATTTGCTTTTTCAAACAAAGCCACACATTTGATGACGTAACTTTGGCTTCAGGAAAATTTTGGGAGTAATTTTTCACTATTTTCTGACATTTTATAGACTAATGGATTTAAAAAAAAAATCCGCACATTAACCAAAAATGAAGGTAATCACTAGTTGCAGCCCTACACCATATCTGCAGGCTGAATATCATGGCAGATATTTGGAGCTGCGTATGGAGAAAAAACAACATTAGAGTCTAATGAGATTAGAAGTTATAACTATTGTTATTGTTAAAATACTGCATACAATACATTTACTGAAAACTCTCTTTATAGCTGCTCACAATTACATTACAGTGTTATAAACCATTTATTAAAAAAGTATAAATAAACAATCAGAGTCTGTGCTGTTAATTCAGTATGTGTGTGTCTGTGTGTCCACAGGGCATGAGCTCTGTGTATTTCAACAAAGGTGAGAACTGCATTGCTGCTGGACGTCTGTTTGTGGAGGAGTCCATTCATGATGAGTTCATCAGCCGAGTGGTGAGTAAGCCAAAACACTGACACTGCCGTCCTCTGGAGGAATGTAGTACATATTGTACATTAAAGGGATACTTCTGTACAGTTGGGGGACTCATGAGACAGATAAAAAAGAACAGTCCAAATTGGATCAGCAGAGGCAGACCTAACTTTTAGTCCACACTAGCTCATACAGTCCCCTTAATGCAGTTTAATATATGAATTTTAGCAGAAAAAACAAAAACAGCATTATTACGCCTAAAAAAGTCTTGTTTCTATTTCACCATCCTTTCCCTCTAAGGTGGAAGAGATCAAGAAGATGAAAATTGGAGACCCACTAGATCGCTCCACAGACCACGGCCCACAGAATCACAAAGCCCACCTGGACAAGCTGCTGGAGTACTGTGAGGTTGGAATAAAGGAGGGCGCTACGCTGGTGTACGGAGGCAAACAGGTGGACAGGCCAGGTAGAATGCACACTGAGCACAGTACAATGTGTGTAGCTGAAGGGACTCATTTTCAGTCCAGTCAGGTCAGATTTACACACAGAATACAGGAGGGGAGGAGGAACAAGTGTCGTAAAAGTAACTACATCACAAACTTGGTGCCAGACTGTATTTATGTGTGTGTTTAGGAGTGGTGGGTTTTAGCAGTATTTAATGTGGTGTGTCTGGCTTGGAATTGCATCAACAATCTTTTAAATCAGACATTTTACAAGCATTACATGCAGCTTTTACTTTAGACGTTAGTCATGATAAGCTTCAATATCTACAGAAGATATACATTTTTTCCTATTAATACAATCATTTAGTCAATGAGCATCAAATGCTAATGCTATGAAACAGAGGAGAGCTAGCACTTCACAAATTCTACAATTAGCATGGTTAGCTATGTAAAATAAAAAAATACAACTTTAAAATAAGATTTATTAACATATATATATAATAGGTTTTTATGTTTGTGAACAAAACGTCAGGCTAATCTTTTCAACTACAGCTGTGAACAATTTTTTCTGTGTCCGCCCGCCCAAGGACCTAGCTTATTCTCCCAGGGAGAAAGTTTTTCAGGTATAAAGATACACAATAAAACTCTTTCACTCTCCACAAACTACACAGTGTATCTTTATGAAAGATTTTTACCGGTGTATAAGCTCCACGCTAATATTTTGGACAGGCGTTACCTTTCGGTTCCGAGTTCTGTGGCTAGTAAAGCCACTAAGCTAGCTAGCAAGCAGAAATTCTGATTCACACATGGTCTAAGTCAGCAACAAAAAATAAAATAGGTGTTATCGTTACCAAAATTAATCTGAAATATTGTGGATTTGTGACTATTATTCTGGTGAGTCTTCACTTTTTTATACAACTTCAACTTGCTGAACAATAGCTTTGCAAGGTGCTAAACATTAGCCACCATTCAGCCTGAAAAAGAAAAAGAGGTTAGCTTACATCATTTATCAGTATGATAATTGATTCATTTTCTGTGGATTTACTCTCACTTTCTCACACACTTTGTCTTATTTATAGTCTTGTCTGTAGAAGCTTTAGCATCATTGCTAGCCTTAGTCATCAATCATCATCAATATGGCAATTTTCCCTCAGGTTATTTCATGGAGCCCACTGTGTTCACTGATGTGGAGGACCACATGTTCATCGCCAAAGAGGAGTCCTTCGGCCCCGTCATGGTGGTGTCCAAATTCAAAAATGGGTAAGTCGTCAAAAAAAGTATGTAAAGCTGGGGTTGTCGCAGTGCTGTTGTGCAATTTAAGTCTCCAACCGGTGTCCTCTGTCCTCTTGCTCCGCACCGCAGCGATGTGGAAGGAGTGCTGCACAGAGCCAATGACACAGAGTACGGCCTGGCCTCGGGCGTGTTCACCTGCGACATCAACAAGGCCATGTATGTGAGCGAGCGGCTGGAGGCTGGAACCGTATTCATCAACACCTACAATAAGACCGACGTGGCCTCACCTTTCGGAGGCTTCAAACAGTCCGGCTTCGGCAAAGACCTCGGTGAGTAGAGACACGGAGTTGACGCGAAGGACATGACATAGATTGGTCTTTTGGCAGAAAATACCTTTGTCGCTTGCCACCTTCTTCCTCAGTTACCCAGAAAGCTTTGACCAGTGAATATTGAATGACACTGTTTCGTTCTCGGTCTTGTCCACAGGAGAAGACGCTCTCATGGAATACCTCAAGACCAAAGCGGTGACTGTGGAGTACTGAGGTTCTCCTAACAGACTCTGACCCACGACTGAATAGGAAGGGACTCGTCTGTCCGCTTCGGTCAAACGTCCAGCTTCATTCAGCATTGCTTATGGACAGTGTGTGTATGAGTGTGTGTACTGTACGAATGAGAGGAGAGCTTTGTTGTTCGTCTCAGCGTGGACAACGTGCCTGTCTTTTCTTGGCTTTCTATGTAAAAATTCACATCACGGAGAAGAGACCGCCCCTGAGTTGGACTCCCGAGCAGGGTCTGACTGTATTTCAGCAAGGTTTCAGTTCCATCAAAGTGTGTTTTATGTTAAAACACACTCACCATTTTCAACCTGAAACCTGTTTACCCGTCATTTAGCAATCATGTCAATCAATTCTCTTCAAAATTTGAAAATCATCTGATGTCAAGCCTTTCTAATTCACTTGTAATGCTGCCTTCACCATTCCTTCAATACCTCTTTGTTTACTCTGTGGAAGCTTCTGCGCTGTTACATGTCGTAGGCTACTACAACTAGACAACGCTCTTCGTTTATGGATTATGGATTTATGGATTTATAGATAAACTCGTGTACATGAATGTGAATGTTGAAGCTTATGTTTGAGTTTTAGAGTAGCCAGTGCCCTGCCTGACAGGACTCAACTGGAGAGCTGCAACTCGATGGTAAAGTCAATTGACCCTAGCTTAGTCCCACCCCTTGTTCTTCTGTGCTCCAATAACAGTGGAGCAAGCCTCGGCCAGGTTTCTCCTTATATGTACTTACAGTAGATATGCTATGCTAGGCTATGTGCAACAAAGCCTAGCATAGCATATCCAAGTACAGGAAAGGAGAAAGTTGACAAGAGTTTTGACCATGGCTTGTGCAACTTTTATTAGAGCACAGATCAAAAAGGGGGCGGGACTCAGGGGGGTCAGTTGGTGATGATGGGAAAACAGGATTCAGGTGGAAAAGTCTTTGAAAAGAGTTGCATTTGATCCACATAAAATCAGTTTGAGAAAATAATCTTTACTCAAGGCGTACTTAACAGTGTTTTTTTCAAATCTTTCAACCACATATCACAGGTTTCCCCGGCAGATGACCATGTGATGTGGTCAAAAGTTGGGGAAAAAGCAAAGAACGTCAACCTTGAGTTGACGAGTAGGCTGAAAACCAGTGTTTCTCTGCCCCCTCTGTCTGAAAGTTCCAACTCTGTTTCATAATCACATTCTGGGCGTAATCAGAAGTGTGTACCTGCTCCTTTACCCACACCCTACAGTGATGTCACGGTGTACTGACACACACTGGAGTACACTTTGATATCAATTCAGCAAGGGGATAAGTTAAACCATAAGAGGTGAGCGGCAAAAAGATGTCAGGGCGTTTTCCTCTATAATATTTTATCAGACAACTATTTTGAAGGTCAAGCATTAACTTTCATACTTACATGAAAATTGGTTGCAGGGAAAGAAGGGAGTTTTATTCTTATTGATTGAAGTCTTAATGAGGACTGACTTTACGACAGCCAAATGCAGTTGGAAGAGAACCATACTTTAGAATGATTTCCTACTTTGTAGGTAGACTGGACTTTTCTTTCAGTACACTATACAAATCATCTTTCAGACACATTAGACAGAGTCACTTTTATATTTTATTTTTAAATTATAATTTTTTTGTGAACACAGCTATGACAACTGTTATTTGAGATTCAGCTGCTTCGTAGCATCACATTCACAAGCTATGTGGTAAGGAAGTCCACGTATGACGACCATTCTGCAATGTTTTATTATGAGTAGTAACGGCAGTTTAGTTGTTTCTCACATAATAATGATTACTAGACAGCTGGCTCTCAAATCTCAGATCAGAGCATCTTACAATGTTACAACAAAGCACTTAATGTTCAAAGCTTAGCACTTAGCCAGTGTGACTTTGACGGACTATAGTAAAAGAAATAGTTAATTGTGATTGATTAAATGTCTCAGGCTTGACCTTCATTTCTATTCTGAACTGAGTCCGAATTCGATGGATTTTGACAGGGATCTGAAAGAGGCTTTTTCACACTAACAGTATTTAGTTGTCACTAAGTCAAGCTACGTTGAGCCATTTTTATTTAATCTCCAGCATACCCACTCTGGTTGTTTACATCATGTCCTTGAAGCTGTCTGTTCCCACATAACTGTACACATTCACTCTCTTCCCTTTGTCAAATTGGACATTTTTGTAAATATTTTTTAACAAAAGAGGGAAAAAGGACTATTTGATATATTTTTGTCAGACAGAGGAAGACTATGTTATAACACTATATTATATTCGGTAAAGACACACCAGCTAGATGTTTTTCTGCATTTCTCACCCATTGTGGAAAAGGTGAGAGCTGCCCCTCAGTGAACTGTATGTCTTCAGCTAGTAATGTCATACAATGGAAAATAAACTTTGATTTGAACTTTGTTGTATACTGCTGCTGTTCTGCATATTCTGTAACCTCGCTACCTCTGTAACAGAGCTACCAAGATTTTACACACTGGACCTTTAAGAATATGTTGAATACTTTTTATACATTGTGTCATCTTCCTTTTTAAAAAAAGGATGTTCAGAGGGGGGTGTACTTGTTTATGCTGTATGTGTTACATATATAGATATGTTATGATTTCAGATGTGAATGTGTGGGTTAATGAGAAGCCAGCACCTGTTAGCGTAATCATATATTTTAATTTGATATTCATAAAAATGATTTCAATACCTACATGTGACAAAATGGTGCCAAAGTCAGTTCACTTAAAGAACCAATCCAAATATACAGTAGTTACAACAGTATGAGTAAAATAGAAAACTGGATCTGACCAATCACAGCAACTGAACCAGAGAACATGGTAATACATTATGGTAATTTGAAAGAATCAACGTGATTATAATCATAAGCTAGCTAACATGTTAGCCTGAATGAATACTAATTTGGATGTAGCAGTATGTGTACAGAGGCTTTATTTTATTCTTTTCCAGTGCCCCATCTTCCTCTTAAAAAACACAACTGAGCTGCATGAAAGCACAAATACTTTATAGTCTAAACTAAAGTAAGAACGTACGGAAGCCCAGAATGGCCCTGTTGGTATTCATTTTCCTACTGACCACAATGAGCCAGCAGCCAGGAAAAAGTGCCTGAAGAGAATCTTTGAGCTCCTTTAATAAATCTCAATCTTGTCTTGATACATTTTGTCAGCACTGCATCACACTGTCAGGAAATGAACAGCTTAAATTAACTCTCAGGTGTACATTCTGCTAACAACTGTTTTCAGTTCAGTTATGAATCCTCCCGACAGTCCTGACAGTGATCTTGAAGGCTGAAATCAGCTGGGATCAAATGAACCCGACACTCATTTTCCAGTTCTGCATAATTATCGTGTGATCTCGGAAAAACAAAAGTCATTTTCATGTTACAAAATATCTTGTTATCTCGAGAAATCGGCCTTTTGTTTTCTCGAAATAATGAGATAAATTAACCCTTAAAAAAACAGCTGCAAGCATGGCCAGTCTCGGCTTCCGTAAGAATGTGTACAAGCTCATGAAAACCAAAAGCAAGGTGATCCACAGTGTTACACCCAGACACATCATGCACAATGAAGGTCACAGCTGATTGCCAGACTGGATGACGGCATCACAGTATCTGTTCCGGCTCCAAAGGCACACGTACAAAATAATATTTACTGCTGTTCCCATAGGGATGAGTAAGATCTGCATCTCCCCACGCATCTTTCTTTTCACCGTCTCTGAAGTAGGCTAAAATCCCTTCCAACCTGAAGCAGGGGTTTTTTTAATTGGTCAGTTTGTCCCGCATCACCTCAGAGGGCAAAGAAACTCAACACGCAGCCAAAAGTCTGCGTGGCCAACTTTTCTACTCTTTCTGTTGGTCGACAACCTGGATGTTGGCTTTCTTCTTGCCTTTGTCTCCAGGTAGTTTGAGGTTCTGCGCCGTGAGCTCGCTCTCCTCGGCAGAGTCTGATTCCTCCTCAGAGTCCGACGTCTCCTCTTCATCCTCAGAGTCCGAACCGCTGAGTTCCACCAGCGCGACGTCCTGAGGATCACGTGACTCCATCAATTCACACAACAAATAAAGTCAAAAACAACTACAAGGGGCCTTTTAAATGTACGTCTGGGGTTTTCTAGTTCACCAGAGGGGGGCAGGAAAGCTTACATTCACCAGCATGCCGACACTCACCATCTCTATGACCCTCTCCGCCTCCTCCACGCTCTCTATGTCAAAGCATCCAGCAGGAGCTTCCTCCATCTGTCGCTTCAGCTTCTCGTTGGCCTCGGCCATCTGAGGCAGGAAGCTCTGCAGCCGCTCCAACACTGACGCACAGCAAAACACACACAATCACATCTCTGATTCATCCTTCACCGCAAATAAATCATATAAAAGAACTGAATAGCAAGACAGCACGCAGGAAGGGATGTTCGGTCTCACCGCTGCTTCTCGGGAGCCGCTCTGTCTGCAGGGAGCTGCCAGCCTTTGGCTTAAGGAGGAGCTTCTCTCTGAGGCCTAGCAGCACGACAAACAAGCTTACAGTGAGTTTTACTGTACAATACCTGATTCATACAGTGAAGAGGATCAAATCAAAGTGTTGAGAAAGGCAGCATTAAGTCACAATAAAGTGACAGGTCCTCCTTATCACACAGTCTTCCAACCAGGTTTACAGCTGTGCTAATGTTGAGTGGTGTAGAAGAGACTGAGATGCACCGATTCCAGGAAATTCTGGGCCAGTACCTATTCATGTTTTTTTCTGTATTAGTTATTCACTCTTTTGTGCCAGGGAAACAAAGAAATCTACAGAGATAAGTGTCTCTGCCCTGTCCCAGCTCAGTCCGTTTCTCTTGTCGTCCACAGTGTGAGACGCAGACACTCACTGTCTGCTCAATCGAGTATTTTAAGTATTTGCTCGCGATGTGTGCCTGTGCCAGACATCAGTGACATTTTCCTTTAAATGCAAAGTAACCTGAACTCTGCAACTGTCCAATTAGAGCTGTGTGATAATATTATTGAGTTTTTCAGCTAAATCTAAAACCAGTTTATATAGTGTTGTATCATGTGTTCACTCTATATATGAATTATTATGAGCTAACTGTGAACATATTAAGAATTATAAAACATAACAATGGAAGACATTCCATTGCTTTTAAGATCAATTCGATCATTTCAGGCGTTATTTTATTTTCATGTTGACACCAGGACATATCCGTAGTAATATCCTGATGATGATATTACCCATATTCCCTAGCCCTATGTCTAACTAAGGGTTATAAAACGTTGCAAGCCATAACAATGCCTGTATAAAATTATGCTTATATTTTTTGTTAGACAAGAGAAATGTTGTACCTGAAGAACATGTGGTTATAACTGCCGTCTTTCAATTAGAGCTTACACAGGCTAACTTACTAACGTTAACTAGCTAACTTTCAGCTAAACACAGCCCTTTAACATTCTTCTTCTCCGCATTTTATTCCTACATTTTAACTGCTAATAAAGTGAGTCAAACCTCCTCCGTTTCCACATGACAGCAAAGCCTGTGAACTCGTCTTCGTGATGTTTAATTCCATGTTAGACGCGATGCCGTTATGTTTTCAACATGTGTGTTACAAGTGAGACCAACTTCCGGGACAAAGGGTAAGAAATTAAATATCTAATCTATGATATATACAGCGCCCTCTGGTGTTTGGGAAGAACTCACGAAATTAGACTGCGAAGTTGGCTGTAAAAACTACACCGACCGCACAAATGCAACGATTATGAACTCTAATAAACAAGCAGACCATAAAAGCATCGTTAAAATTTAGCACTTTTACTGAAAATATCGGTAAATGTAATAAATGTATGAGCTTTATGGACAACTACTTAAGCACGGTGTACTCTGCGATTGCGCACTACAATCAAAATATCTGTGTGGCACTTCTTGTTCTGACCTGAGAGCCTGTAGTTTAGCGAGAGGTCTCACTCTGACATGATTTTACAATACAATACAATTTTGAATACAATTCAACGAGAATCTTGTACATCATTTATTTCTTTTTGTCTGTTGAAAGCTTGGAACTCATTTAATTTAGTAACAGAGTAATGTTTCAGATAACATTACTATGCATTATGCATTAGCGCCGAGAAAATAAGTGAATAAAATCAGGAATGATTAAATACCTAAGGGAAAATCAACCCATTTTGCATGCTGTAACTTTTGTTGTATGGTTTATTTTAACTATGTTGCACAGAAATGAATTCAAAGGAATTAAAATCAAGGCAACTCGTATTTAAAACGTTGATACCCGTGCCTTACTCAGCGCTCATGCACATTACACCCACCATTTTTTTTCAAACTGAGTGGTTCATCGTTCCGACATAGACGAGCTTCGGTGGCACTCTTTGCTCTGACGCGGCTCTCTGGCTGGTTGACTGTCAGGGAAGAAAGCTCGCATCGTCTCTTGGATGGAATGTCTCCGTAGCTGAAAGGTAACATATGAAAAAAGAAATAAAATACTGCGACAAGTAGAATAAGTACTTTGCTATTTTTCTAAATGTCTAGTAGCTAACACTGGCCGCTTTATTCTCCCGGTTAACGCATAAAAAGTAAGCTACCGTGCGTGCTACTGTTTTCATTTCTCCACAGCTAGCTAACATAGCACAGCGTTAGCTAACGTAAACATAAACAAATACCCACAACTAGTCAACAATCTCGTGTTCGGGAAGGTTAGCAGTAAACATGAGCTTGTGATGTAAGAAGGCGACATTGCTACCGTAAAATAAAATGCTCTCAAGTGAGCCTGAGACAGACAGGTGGTATGAAAGGCCTGAATAATGTTCAAGTGCAGATCTAAAGGTGGGCAAACATTATGGACTCCAGACTGAACATCAGCATCAGGATCAACTAAATGTCTTTATAGGAGGGTATAGTTTCTGCTTCCACTAATGGCAGCTGGATAACATAACGATTTTTGTCCCTCCTCTTCACATTGTTTGTTCACATACTAATGATGATGGAGCACTTTGTTTCCTGTTTTGCTTCCTCTTTTACACCAACTTTTAACCAAACTTATCTTATCTCATCTCTCCATCTCCACTGTGAGAGGTGGACACTCGCACGGTGTGCTTATGGGCTGACTTGAGCAGACAATGGCGGTATCTTCATAAGAAGTGACTCATCTGTTCCATCGGTGTAATATCATCCAGGATATTGCTTCGGGCTGTGTCTCCCTGTCCTCCCAGCTATTCTCTCCTCTGACGTTGTCGTGTCAATTTCCGACATGGATGGTGTACCTGAGCCAGTGTAAACCAGTTGTGCTGTGTATCTTTCTTCACAGCTCTCAGACCGAATGACAGGAGATGAGACACTGCGGCCGTAGACCACACCATGAGTATCCAGAGCCTGGGAGGAGCTATAGGGGAGTCCTTGGGCTCTAGCCTGACGGTGCGTATGAGCGGAGCAGGTGGCGGGTGGAGCTCTCTCTCCCTAAAGCCTGTTTCCTCTGGGCGCATTGCCTCTCTGTTCCAGACCATGGTACCCACTGGGTATACCAAGCTACAGGAGGAGCGGCTATCCATGGTGGACCTCGGAGCCAAACCAGAGGCCGGCTCGCTCCAGAATGGCTACAGACAAGAGACGACGCACATAGAAGGCCGGCGGCTCCTGGACCGGGCCTCTCGGTCCTCTGTGACTTTATCGGACTGTGGAGACGGAGGCTACTCTGAAACTGAGCCCATGCTGGCTGAGAGGAGGCTCTCCGGGGAGGAGGCAGACGCGGAGGAGGAGGAGGAGGATGAGGAGGAAGGGCTGGGATCGGATGTGCAGAACATGCCCAAAGAGTCACCACTGGCCATGGCGCTACAGATCTTGTTGCCTTTCCTGCTAGCAGGATTTGGAACTGTATCAGCTGGAATGGTGCTGGATATTGTGCAGGTAAGCTGAGCTACAGTACAATACAACTATTATTCCAACAACCAGCATAGTTGAGAGCTCAAGACAGTGTGGCATTAAAGTCCAGTTTGTTACATTTGGCTGTTATTTTCATAGTTGGGGCAATTGTTTCTATCAGTTCTGATAACGTTGGACTTTGAAAAGTTATTACTGAGATGTGGGAACACGGTGTCATCCTTAGAACAAAGTCTGAAGGCATAAAAACACGAGCAGTCACAGACAATCAGACAGGTTGTAAACAAGACAACAGTTTATTAGTTAAACCACTGGTTCTCAAACTATGGTATGTGTACCACAGAGGAATCTCTGAAAGATATGATTTTTTTTATTAATTTAAAAACATGCTATTATCAAAATACAACAAATATTCACATTATGGAATTTTAAATAAGTTCTTGATGTCTTGTAATATTCCTGTTTCCATATCAGCCTGCTACAGTCTCATACATGCATTATGTCCATGATTAGTTACAAGCTAAATGAGTTGGCAAGATAGTAAGCAGAGGTCAAATGCATGTTTCACAAACAGTTGTGGCTCCAAACAGTAACTATTAGGAAGAGAAGTGTGGATCAACAATAAATAATCTCATTAGGAATTTTAACGTCAGTCATAATGGTGGTACTTGAAGAGCCTGATATTTTTTGAGAAACACTGACATAAACCACTTTATTTGGAGGTAAATACTGAAGGTGAGTGCACTTAAGATGTTGCTCAGGAAAATTGTGTGCACAACCACGTTGACAGTAGGTCAAATTGAAGACAGACAGACTGTTACGGTTTGCCTTTGTTTTCTCTTCCAAATAAATGTGACTAACATCTCTGAAAACAGCTCTGACTTCTTTTTAGTGCCGTTGTATCCCTTGGTGAGATCTTGGCAATTAAAGGCGCCCTGTGAACTTTTCTTGTAAACTAATAAAAGCTGACATTCAACATTTAAACACATTGTGTGAATCACTGAGGCCTAACAAAGGTGTTGTCACCATATTTACTTCCTCATAAAACATTTGCAAAACTGATGAAAAAAATTATTTACATCCATGTTCACAAGCTAGCGGTTTTCCTCTGTGTCTAGCTAGCCAGTGTATCTTATTTATTACTGCCACCTCTAGATGAGTGGAATATTGTGAAGCTATTGGTAGGACTGTATATCACGTCACCCACCCAAGAAAGGGGATGGTGACTAATGTTCGAACCAGGGACATTGCACTTACAGGGACAGCATCTTACAGTTCTTGTCCACCAGGGTGCACCTACTCAAGTTGTAAATTGGAATTATTCCTTTATGTACAGGTGGTCACAAGCTGCTGGTTTTTTTCCCCCCTGTTGTAAACAAACAAAAGTTCTGTTTACAGTCAGTGTTCTCATCTTTGAGGTCTAACAAACACGCTGAATAGCACTACTAGTGGTCAAAAACTCCGCAGGGCGCCTTTAACTTCAGGTCCACTTACTATTGATCCATAAAATATGTCACTTAGTCAGTGGTCCTCAGTTTACCCAATGACAGGGCTCATTAAAGGAACAAGGTTGGGACCCACTGGCTTACATATTACAGTTTTAAACTCTTGACACCTTTATGGAATTACTGGCAGGGTTCCTGACAAGACTGACAAACCGGTACGTTGACGCTGTTAGATTAAATCCGCAGGTTCACATGTGCATATGCAAATCAGGACTTTGCCTTATCGAAATGATAGCGTAGCATTTGAATTTGAATGTCGAATGAGGCTGAGTGACAGTGGAGTCATTAGAGGGGCGGTCATGTTTACATTACTTCCTTGCGTCACCCACAGCACTGGGAGGCATTCCAGTACATCACAGAGATCTTCATCCTGGTTCCTGCTCTGCTCGGCCTCAAGGGAAACCTGGAGATGACTCTGGCCTCAAGGCTGTCAACGGCGGTGAGACACACACACACACACACACACACACACTCGGAAAGACACACTACCAGGGAAGTGTTTTTATGTGCAGAATGAAGCATGAAGGAACAAGCACAGGTTTTTACGCTCTGTTGGAATGAATTTAGGTTCTGTCACTAAAAAGCTTAGGCAGTAAATGTGCAGTGGAAATAAATGAATGCATATATTGTGATGCAAACAGTTAGCTTGCATGACTGAAGAACTGACATCCCATATATCCTGATAATGTAGTTTCAGCCGGCTCCAGATGATCTGAAAGAGCCGCACACACAACAATTCCTGGCTCGGGGTCGTCCATTTTTCTCTCTGTTTAATGACACAACTTGTTGTCGTTGTAATTAGATGACTGCAGTCCAGCGTCATGCCGCATCGACTCAGCTACTGTTTGCCTATTTTCTGCGCTCCAGCCGAGTCAACAGAAAGCTACATCATATTTTGTTTTGGTCCACCTTTAGAAATGTTGGCGTGAAAAATGTCCACCTCATAACGTGTCCTTTCAGACGCTGTGAATGGCACTCTAGATGTGCGATGTCATTGTGTGGGTGTGTTTGTTTGCGTGGAGTCATTTCTTTGTGGTCATGTCTCATCTCCACAGGTTAAGCCTCTCTCTGTGTATAGTTGTTGTTGGTCGTCTCCGTGACATACTGTACAGCCGCTCCAGTCTGTAATTACAGCTTCTCCTCTGTCAGGTGAAATGGAGAAGAAAAGTGAACAGGCTTAGAGCTTTCAGTGGAATGGTGACCTTGTTTGTCAGTGCAGCTTGTCTCCGCCTTCACTGTCCCCTTCTAAGCTCAAGTTATAATTACTTTGGAAAGTTTCAAGCGAGAATTATTTTGGGGCGTCTTGAATGGACTTTGGTGTAAAAGCTTTGCGGATTAGGAATTAGTCGAGGAATTTGCTGATGTAGCGGAGTGAGGGGTGATTTCCTGTAGAGGGTGGTGAGAGAGGCTGCTGCAAACAGGATGGCTGTCGGCAAACAGTCCGATGGCAAATGTATTGCTGCACTTCAGAGCAGAAGATATAAAAATGGGAGAGCAGTGGAAGAAGTAGGTTGCCTGTTAGTGAACCACAAGTGCATACGGTACGTTTGCAGAGTCTAACATCAGGGCTGTGTATTGGCAAGAATGGGGTTACGATTCAATTCAATGTGCTTTGATATATAAATCTAAGCAAAGGTGTCATAGTAGAGCACACATCCAACATCACAGCCCTCAGTTTACAGCAGCTGAGCAGAGAATTGATATTTTCATACAACCCCTGTATCGTGATACGTATCGTTTTGTCAGATTCTTGCCAATACACAGGCCTACTTGATATCCCATAAAACTGCATCACGCTCTCCACAAGCACTTATTCAGCCGAACCTGTCAAAGCTGTCTCAGTGTACGTCTCTGTGTTTGTCTCCACTGCTCAAGCTCTGCAGAGCAGAAGAAGCAGAAGAAGTGACAAGAGCAGAATTCTCTCTTTGTTTAGTTTTTGGCCCTTCCTGTTGGCCCCCGGCTCCCCGCACACAGGCTCCACATTCACAGTGCTGTGTCAACACGGACAGCAGGGCTCAGTGTGAGCTGATATATCCCACAGCGGTGTCCCGAAAAACTATTTGTCTTTGTGTTACTGTTGTTCTCCTCGGGCTTAGTTATGAAACAGACAGTGATTCACAGTGTGGGGAGTTACGCTTTACTGAAACATGTGGCAGAACTCATCTAACGAGCTAGGGGAAATGTTTTGGTTTGCAATGCGTGCAGAAGTTATGGAATGTTGATTGTTTGGCTTTAACTGTATATCTATGAAAAGACTGTATGCATATTTCAAACCATGGCTCACCTCCAGCTTAATATAATTTCTGTGGTAAAGCTGCAGTACACAGGTGAAAAGATGAGTTGAGCAAAGAGACACTCCAGCAGTTTAGTCTCACACTCCCATGAAGCTGGGAGACTTATAAGAGAGATGGGGAACATTTAAGCAGCTGAGGCTGAGATATCCTGACCTTTACCCCCCAGTATGGGACAGAAAGACTAGAGATCCTATGTTTCCCCTAATGCAACCCCATAGTATTTTTCCTTCCCTATGCCCATGTCTTTCAAACTTGATGTCCCCAGTTTGCAATGCAGGGTTTCTGTTTTAAATTGGTAGCCCGACTGAAATGACACTAATGATCGAGGTCACCATGAAAATGAAATGAAAATGAATTTTTGATTATCAGTGAATCTATTTTGAGTACTTTTTAAAGCAAACATTCACTGTTTGTCAACTTCTCCCAATAAGAATATCTGCTAGAAAATAACAGCAGTTAATAAGATTGGTCTAGAGGTAGTTAGAGGTTCAGAGGTATTTCACAAGACCAAACTAAAGCCAAAAAATCCTCAAAACAAACGAGAGCTGCAGGGCTGACAGAGCATCACCAGGGAAGTCTCAGTGGGTTGTAGACTTCAGAAGATCTGACATCAAATATTAAATAAGACAAATTCATTTACAATTCCACTGATTTCACACGTCAAAGTGGATTTAACAGTCAAAGGGAGTTCTACCCAGCCTGTCTCTGCTTGAGCATGGAGACAAATCTTAGTCTGCCTTTCATATTGGGGCTGTGGAGTTTGAAAGATGTGGGGGTCTACCAGTCTGAAGAAAAACATTATCAAGCTGCACTGTTGGAAGTGTAGGATCCAGTGTTTTGGGAGCTTGACTCATGACTCAGGATGTGAAAGACATTTTATTGACCACCACACACTCTTTAATCTGTCTCTTAACTCCCCCAACTGTATGGAAGTGCAACACTAAACAGCTGGAGTAAGGCTACCACTAACAGTCAGCTTTTATTGCCTTTATGATAGAGACAGGGCTGAAGACAGGACCAGGAGAGAGGGGGACAGGAGCCGGGAGAGGACGGCGGGTTGACACGCAGCAAGAGGGCCACATGTTCGGGATCTCGGAACCCGCTGGGGCGGCTTGCAGCAAGGACTCGATGCCGGGTGCCGGGTAGGCCTCCGTCAGAGTGTGTCTGCAGCCAGACAGTCCAGGTAGTTATCAGTATATGACAAAGAACGAATTTAGATGTTGGCACGTAGTGTGTGGTCCTCTAGAGAAGAGTGGTAGCAAGCAGGCTACGACCTTGGAAGGTCGCAAAGAGGGCTCGTGCGAGTAGATAGATGCGAGTCAGGTGGATGAGGAGCATAGAATGATCATACAGTTGTGCGGTTGTTCGTTTTCTTCTTGTCGGCACAGAGTGAAAGGTGTGGGCAAAGATGGGATGCCTGCGCTGCCCAGGTGCGAGAAGTGGAACTGGCTAGGGATGCGAGCTAGGCAAGCCTGGCACTTGGAAGCAGGGTACATACTAGGGACACATACAGTTTGTGCACGGTACTGCCGGAACTAGTTGCCGCTTCTCGGATTACAGCGGATGAAGGACCCAGTGCTGCGCAGTCCGATGTAGCATCTGAATGTAGGTCCAAGATTTTTATCGAATACTTTAGCTTGCACACACAAAGTGATGCAGGATTCAGCGTA